AATTCGTAGCGCCAGTCTGGCGCTGGCGCCAAGGTCGAACGTCATATTTGCGATGAGGCCCTGACTTACCTCTACAGGCAAACTTGTAGAGAAAATCGTGATTTTGACTCAACTCGGGAAAGGGTAGGTTGGGTGAGAGGACCGCTCGGCGATAGTGGACCTCGTTTTGTAGTGCTCGTGGGAGTTCTTACAGTATGTTAAAAACTGTTTTGAAAAATCATAAATTGCCCTGAACGACCTCTTTTGTGAGGAATCTAGTCATCTTTAACGTCCACTGACGTCATTAAAATCGTACCGCCCTTCACATCGCGAGAAGTGCCTTCATCTGCCCACTTTACGCAATTTTACCGCACATTAGAGAAGTTTGCATTTCGCTGGTGCCGTTTTCCCGGCCGTTACTTTCTCGTCAACAGGATGCTAAATCGTTTAGGCAAAATTTTGATTTTCAGGTTGTCTCTCAGCATTCATGGCTACTAGCGCCAATGGCAGTGAATGCCGTGAAGCGTATCATCGACCCCACTCGCGACACTTCTGTGAATTTGAAAATGATCAAGATAATTAAGAAGATGGGGGATACCGTGGAGGTGACTACTGCATGTTTCGATTATATCTTAAGGAAGATTTGGAGCAATAATCTACGCTTGGTGTTCCAGGAGTCTGAAATGATTGATGGAGCTCTGATTGATCAAAAGACAATGGGACGTGGAGGGCCAACTCGCGTGGAAAAAGCTAAAATTGGCCTTATTCAATTTCAACTTAGCCCACCTAAAACAGATGTAAGAATTTTTCAATTCTTTTCTCATGTCGTTTCTATCACTAGCTTTTCAGATGGAAAACCAGGTAATAATCTCCGATTATACGCAAATGGATCGTGCTCTCAAGGAAGAACGCCAGTATTTGCTTGATTTGTGCAAGCAAATTAAGAAGGCCGGGTGCAATGTTCTATTAATTCAGAAGAGTATCCTCAGGTTTGATTTATTTCAGTGAATTCAGTTTACTTTTCGGAACGAGTTCCGTTTTCCATCACGGTTTTCGTTTAAAGGGACGCTGTTAATGAACTATCACTACATTTCCTTGCTAAAATGAAAATCATG